GCAAGCAGGCAGCTGGTTGCCTGGTGACCCTCTAGTGAGGGATTCCAGAGAATACAGCTCTGGGAGGCCACGGTAAACCAAAAAGAAAGGAAGGGAGGCACCAGGAGAAGCAAGGGACTCCTTACAGGGCACTTTGCTCCTATGGAGAGAGGGGAATTGCCAGGGAGAGACATTCAAGCTGCTCTCAGCTAAAGCCTGCAAGAAATGCCCCTGGAAACAAGTGACAGACAGTCATGGGGTCTCTGAAAGGGACACCTTAATTCAGATTGAGAGGGCAGCAAATTCTCTGGGATTAAACTTTAAATCTCTGCTGGCAGTTTGGCTACTCGATAGCTCTCTCCCAGGACAGAGCGATTGCTCGTGTCTTGGTGATCCTCTGGGAACCATGTTATGGGCTGCTGTTCCCGTTAGCCCTTTAGAGAGACGGCAACATTTGGTAATAAACCCTGGAGTGTCCCTGCTGCAAACTGTAGGCTCGCTCTATTAGCATAGTACTCTTTGTAATGGCTCCTGTAGGTACTGATCTGTTTGTATCTCTGGCCCAATTGAAAACGGGACCTCGTTGTGCTGGGCGCTGCACATATATAGTGAGTGCCCCAAAGAGCTCTCAGTCTAAATACCCAAGACCGACTTCTACAGGCTCATTGCAGTGAATGGAATAGCAGTCTTGCTTCTGGCTACTTAGTCAATAGCTTCTTTAATCTCACAATTGAGGAAGAAGGCTGTACTGGGGTGTGTGTGTGTGTGTGTATGTGTGTGTGTATATATATATATATATATCCTCTTCAAGGATAAAATAAATAAAAACCTGACCTGGTTTAGAGGGGAAGAAAGGGAAAGTTGATAGCAATGAATATAAATCAGAAGCAAGGAATTGTAGAAAATTGATAAGGGAAGCAAAGGGACACAAGGAGAAATCTATGGCCAGCAGAGTTAAGGACAATAAGGAGGAATTTTAAAAGTATATTGGGAACAAAAAAGAATCCTAACTATGGTATTTGTCAATTACTAGATGAAAATGGTAGAATTAGCAATTATGTAGAAAAGGCAGAAGTGTTTTAATAAATATTTCTGTTCTGTTTTTCCCCAAACACAGATGATGTAGTCCTATAATATAACACTTTCCTTTCCACTAGTATCTCTTGAGGATGTTAAACAGCAGCTATGAAAATTAGATATTTTAAAATCATCAGGTCTAAATAACTTGCATCCATGAGATTTAAAAGAGCTGGCCGAGGAGCTTGCAGGATCATTAATGACTTTCAGTAAGTGTTGGAACTTGGGGAAAACTGGAAGAAAGCTAAAGTTGTCAGTATTTAAAAAGGGTAAATGGTATGATCCAGGTAATTATAGGTGTGACAGTCTGACATCAAACCTGAGCAAGATAATGGAGTGGCTGATATGGAACTCAATAAAGAATTAGAGGAAAATATAACAATTAACATGAGTTTACAGAAAATACATTGTTACATTAGCTTGATGATATATATATATTTTTTTCTATTACAAGTTTGGTTGATAAAGGTAACACTGTAATCTACTTCTGTAAGGCATTTGACCTGGTACTGCATGACATTTTGATTAAAAACGAAAATGATGTAAAATTAACATGGCACATTTTAAATGGGTTAAAAGCTGGCTGATAAGTCTCAAAATCTAACTCTAAATGGGGACTCATCATTGAGAGGTTGTTTCTAGTGGGGTCCTGCGGGCATTGGCACTTGACCCTACGCTATTTAACACTTATCAGTGATCTGAAAGAAAACATCAAACTTTATCAGTGATGATTTTCAGATGACACCAAAATTGGTGGAATGGTAAAGAAGGAAGAGGCCAGACTGCTGATAGTCATCTGGATTGCTTGTTAAGATGGGCACAAACAAACAATATGCATTTAAATAGGGCTAAATGTGTACATCTAGGAACAAAGAATGTAGGTCGTGCTTACAGGATGTGGACGGGGGGCTCTGTTCTGGGAAGCAGTGACTGAAAGATTTGGGGGTCGTGGTAGATAATCAGTTGAACGGGAGCTCCCAGTGCGACGCTGGGGCAAAAAGGGGCCAGTGCGATTCTTGGATGTGTAAACGGGAATCTCGAGTCGGAGAAGAGGTTATTTTACCTCTGTATTGGGCACTGGCGCAGCTGCGGCTGGAATCCTGTGTCCAGTTTTGTTGCCTGCAATTCAAGACTGATGCTGATGCATTGTTCAGAGAAGAGCTGTGGGCATGATTAACGGGTTAGAAAGCATGTCTTACGGTGATAGCCTCAAGGAGTTCGGTCTGGTTAGCTTAACAAAGAGAAGGTTAAGGGGTGACTTGATGGGGAGGAAAATATTTGCCAATGGGCTTGTCAGTCTAGCCGAGAAAGGTATAACGTGCTCCAATGGCGGGAAGTTGAAGCTAGACAAATACAGCCTGGAAATAAGATGTAAATTTTTAATGACGGGTAATTAACCATTGGAATGAATTTTCCAGCGGTCACATTCTCAATGCAACTTTCTCTATCCCTAAGCCACTTGCAGTGCTCCTGGGAGATCCATTGTGAGCAATGGGACAGTCTCCCCGAGAGACTCCGTCTTAGCCTACCTGAGGCAGGGGTCGACTTATCCAAACTCACCCCGGTGAGCGGGCGGGTCTGTGACTGTCTGGCAGCTGGCACTTTGTTGGCAGTGCGGGTAAGGACTGAATGGACCTAAAGGCTGAAATACTCACTTGTCCAGAGAGCTGGTCCATCTAGAAGCATACCAGGGCAGCATGGCCTATCTGGCATTGCTCCCAGTCCTGGTGCCTGCTCTGGGGCTAGCCAACTCTGGTCTCCCGAGTTGCCAGCTGGGTGGATTTTACTAGCAAGTTGGATGTTGCAAGAATAAACACTTGAGGATGGAGAATGCAGCGCTGTGGGCCCATGAGCTGATCTCCACCCTATTACCCTCTCGCAAGGTGCAGAGACAGAGCCGGGTGGGTCCTCCCTGGCAGACTGATGACAAACCTGTGTCTGCGGAGGCATCTGCCTCAACCCCATCCCACCTGGATATGTACAGTTCCCCAGCACGCTGGCTTTTGAGCTAGTGAGCCCTCTAAGGAGCGCTCGTTGAGTTCCAGGTGCCTGTCGTCCCCAGGGATGTTAAAGGAGCTTCCTCCCTTGGCTGCAGCGAGACAAATTAAGGTACTGTTCTAGCAGGTGCAGATCCCGGAGGAGAAAGGTAGAGCGCTTGTGCTGGCTGCTGTGAAGCAGTGGGGCTGAGGGTGCAGGACGCAAACAGTCGTGCACTTCTACAGTCAGACTCGTGTGTGAACTCAACCTCTGCAGATGGCTGTCTGTGGAAAGCAGAGCTCTCCAGTGCAGACCTTGGCGGTCCTCCTGCTCTGGAGAGGGGCCCATGGGAAGGTTGCAGGCCTTGACGTGAGCAGCCTCTCTATAGATCAGGGCTGGGGAAACCAGCTCTGCCTTATGCAAATGACGAACAGCCCTGGGGTGCCTGGCAAGCTGCCAGAACAGCTGCTGGCTGTGCCAGGGTGCGGGGTGTCTGGGGCATGACAGTGCTGTCTAGACTCACCCTGCCCAGACCAACTCGGAGCATGAACCCCTGTCCTTGGGCAGCCCTATTCTGCCTGTCTGCAGCAGGCAAACATGCTCCCTGATGGGGTGTGTGTGAGGGGGTGGGCAGCCCCTGCCCTGCCCCGCCTAGCCATGACCAGGACAGTGGGGTGGAACGGCCACCTTGCCAGACTGCATCAGCTGTTGTCTGCAGACCTTGATCTGTGGTTGCCCCAAGAACCCGCTCCTGCCAGCCTGACTCCCTGCAGAAGGCTGGGTCTGCTGTGTGCTCACAGAGCCAAAATGGACGCCACAGGCCGTCAGCTGCGGTGTGGGACTTTGCTTGAGCCGGTCTAACCAGAGGGCTTTGTGCGTAGGGCTCAGGAATTGCTGCATTCTAATGCTGCCGAAAGAATGACCACCTTTGGCTTCATTGCTGTGTCGCGGCTAAACAGGCAGGGTGCGGGGGCCTCGCGTCCCACCCACATGCTCTTACTGCAGCCACTCTGTGCTCTCCCCACCCCACCCCCCGACATGCAGTTAGACACCTCTATGTAGATGTTTGGGCTCTGGCTACAGTCTGAGCTCTGGGACCCTCCCATCTTGTGGGGTCCCAGAGCCTGGGCTCCAGCCTGACCCCAAACATCAACACCACTGTTAAACAGCCCCTGCGAGCCTGAACCAGTCGTCACGGGCCAGCTGCAGATGTCTAATTGCAGTGTAGACAGACCCTAGAGTTCTTTCTGAGCGTCCTGGACCGAGGCATTGGAGTGGATCAGCTGTGGGAGCTGGTGTGTTGCTTTCACAAGTCTAACCCTGTCCTGTATTGCTCTACACAACCCAGGTGTGGAAAGCACAGGTAGTTCCTAAACCCCTCTTCCCCCACCCCCACCCCAAGTACATCCGCTGCTGCGGATAGTGGAATAACCAGTCCCTCTCCTGCTGCCCATTGAGCTCCCAAACACAAGGATTGCTGGGACCTGTCTTCCGGTGGGCGCCACCCCTGGTGTGTGTTGTGCAGTCCAGCTGCGCTGGGCTGAGGCAGGAGTAGGTGTGCCTAGACCGGGCAGGCAGACGATGGTGTGAAACTCTCTGGAGGTGTCTGAGGACCACATAATGAGGCATCAAGGTTTCAGGTGCTTTGGGTTAGGTTGGCTTCTTGCTGAGCAGTCCGGCGGAATGCCTGGCCGCAGAATGGCAATGCCAGGCTTTTAAAATCTCTTGGCAAGGTACCAGCGTAGGTGCGTGGATACCTGGGTGGCAAGCAAGATGCCACCAAAATGGACATAGCTGGGTCTTAAGTGTTTAGTCCCCAGTTCTTAGCCTTGGTCTTACTTGCTGGTGTGCTAAAAGGCAGAGTTCCCCAGGTGCTGGCAGAGTTGGTTTTTGAGTGGAGGGCAGGGGGGTCGGTTCAGGGCTGTCTCTGTCCCCTCGTTGCCTCCTTGACTCTCCGCCCATGCCAGATACGGCGCTCCAGGAGTGGAGTTCACTGGCTTGCACAAGGAGACTGCTGCCGTCACACAGATACACTTTTTGCCTGGACAGGTACGTTGCTGCTTCCGGTTCTCGTCACCTCGCGTCTCCCTTCAGGCAGGTGCCGGTGCCTCTCGGGGGAGAGTAACCCATGTCCCGCTGTCACCAGGGTGCAGCAGCCCATCCTCTGACCTAGCCAGACTCCTGGTCATTCTCTGGCAAGGAAGGTGGCAGGCTAATGTCTCCAACCCCCGTGGACGACTCCTGGCCTGCTGATCCCCCTACTGGGGCCTCCTGTCTTATTAAAAACCTCTGCCCCTTTCTGATAGCTCTGCTGGGCAGGGCCTGGGAAGACTTCTTAGCAACTGCTTGGGGGGGGTGGGTACGGCCAACAGGCCAGGAAGTGGATGCCATTGGGATGGTGGGTAAAGGTACCTGCACCCCAATGTCCTGATTGAGATGCACGGGCTGGTGTGGCCAAGTCCAGCCTGCTCACTGCCGCAGCAGGGGCCTTGTTTCGGAGGGGGGAGACTTTAATCGCAATCCTGTGACATCCTTTGTTTCCTTCCGCGTCGGTCTCTCTCCCAGGGTCGGCTGCTGTCCTTGCTGGATGACAACACCCTGCACCTGTGGGACATCGACCAGAAGGATGGCTATTCGCGCTTGGAGGAGACCCGCAGCTTCATCCTCCCGGGCCGACCAGGATTCGACAGCACGAAGTACTCACGTCTGCCTTCCTCTTTCCCGCTGGTCTGGGGAGTTCAGGCTTAACTGTAGCAGGGGCTGCTCCTGGGCTCTGCTGGGTACCGAGAGCTCCTAGGATTTAATTGTGCATTGCCCTGATTCGCTGACCCGGCAATCCATCCGGGCCCAGCCATGGCTCTTCCCCTGATTCGCTGACCCGGCATTCCATCCGGGCCCAGCCATGGCTCAGATAGGGCCTGTCCGGAGGTGGTGCTTAGGGCCGGCGCAGGACCCAGGCTGCTTTGTGCAGCTCCGCCCCCAGCGTTGCCAGACCTGGGTCCTGTTCACAGTGGCAATTACGGCCCCTTGCCGCTGGCTGTGCTGCGGAGTCAGCGCAGTTCTGAGGGAGCTGGGCTGTGTTCTGCTTTGTGCATCATCCAAACGCCCTCTTCTCCCCCCCCTAAAAACCCCTCCTAGGGAGTACCAGCACCAGCGCCCCCTTTTAACCTCACATGCATTGGGGAGACCACGGGCCTGCCAGTCTTGCTGGTGGTGATGTGCGAATCAGAAAGAGCTTGGCATGGGCCTCGCAGATCCTAGGTTGCGTTTGCAGAGCCAGTAACTCACCAGCTGCAGGGCAGACTGAGCCAGCTTACCCCAGGAGTAACATGAGGCAGTAGCCACTGACTGGGCCTTGCTCGTTTTGGGACATGAGGCAGGTGTTAGAGCCACTGTTCACCACAGAGCCCCGCTTTAAAGCGCTCGTTACAGGGCTTGGAACGCCAGCCGTGAAATCTTTAATGGCTCTGCCTTGGGAGGCTGTCCAAGCAGCCCAGATTTCAGCGTAAAAGGTCTTGGGCTATTTGAACTGAATCGAAATTCCAGTCTGTGCCCTGTACGTGCCACTCCGTGGAAACAGCCAAAGGGTATTTAAAAGGCTGAACACCCCCCCCCCCCAGTTTAATTTTATCCATCTGGTTCAATCACTTTGCCCAAGATGCAGTTTCATTCCTACTCCCCTCTGGGAATCTCTCTCCTGGCTCTGTGGTTTCCAAAGCTGTCCCTTTTGTACCCAGCTGTACGGTTTGCCTATCAATCAGTTACCATGGGAATGGTTGCACTGGTGGAGAAAATAGACAGCCTGCTAGGCCGAGATTAGCGTAGGCTCTGCAGACACCTTGGCTTATAAATGGGGAAAGGAAGCATGGATGAGTAACTGACAGGGCAATGAATTGATGTCTGAGTTTCAGCTCTTGCTGGCCTCTGCACGTTCTTGTCTTTACATTTAAACAAAACCCCTCCCGAACGAGCAGCAAGGATCGCAGCAGAGCTCTTGCGAAAGGTCTGCCAGAGTTTATCCTCAAGTCTCTGTGCTGGGGGGAAATTTGGCTCCAGTGTTGCCAGATGCAAACGTTTTATTCTTTTTAAAAATGTTCTAAATCTGCTTGGCCTCTTTTTACTTACAAGGGTGGGGAATGACCAAACGAGCCTAATTCTCAAGGGATGGGATGGATCTTTTTGGCCAATCATCAGTATAAACCAAACATGGTTTGAGTTCATTTTAAGGACTCTTCCGCCTGCAGATCTTGCTCTTCGGTTCTGAATGTAGCCCAAATAAACTCTGTTAAACTTGGTACTAACTCTTCTAGGGAGGTAGCACTCGTTAAATGGACGCTGTCGGGAGTTAAATTTTGCAGCGCCTACTGTTGATGGATATGCTTCTGCGATCTTTTTGGAAAGATAATGGAAGCCATTTTCCCAAACTTCAGCAAGCCTCGAGTTGCTGCACAGCCCGTGATAACCCGAGTAGAATTCATTAGCCCATTTGTTTCTGGGCACTAAATGAAGAAGAGCAAAAATTGAAGGGTAAAATTTCAAACAATGTTGACATTTTTTAATTTCGAAAATTAGAACGCCAGCAAAGAAAGATGTTTTCTTAAAACCACCTGGTGCCAGGACTCCCGACGCCTTTCGGCCTGATTTTCAGAAGTGCTGGATACCCAGAATTCCAGTTGAAACTGATAGCAGAGGATGTAGATGCTTAGCATCTCTGAAAGTAATCCCTTTGTGTGCCGCTTGAGCAGATGCTCAGGGCCGCGTTACTCATTTGAGCATTCGGTTGCCACAATTGCATGCTCAAATGATGCGTTTTGCATCTACAGCTACTCATCTGAGAGGATCGCAGTATTAAAAATCAAGGGGTAAATTCTGTGTCCCTTTAACGCTGGCTAGCTCTGGAAGATGCAAGATCCTCTTCCTGTGTAGCAGTCTCTTTAAATGAAGGCTTTGTTCTTGTGCCGTTTGCACCATGGAGTGCAGGCAGTGGCATTATTCATTCTCTGGGTGGAAAGCCCTGTGAAGGGGCTGCGGAAACTTGCAGCACGCGAAAGGAGTGTGAATCGCTTTACAGTCGTAGCTCTTCCAAGATTCTAGTGTACCTACAAATACTTGCTTGTTCCTATTTACCTCTCAGTACTTCCATAACCTGCCAGTGCAGCATCTGGGTTTACAAAGAGAGACTGCCTGGATCATTGCCTGGGGCCATCTTTATTTGGATCTCAGACTTTGGAGAACAATACAAACTCGGTGCACAGGTTAACTGATCACTTACCTAGACAATGAGATCTCCTAAGGAGAGCGGTACAAGTGACCCCACAGACTTAGTAGCAGGGCCGGCTCCAGGCACCAGCTTGTCAAACAGGTGCTTGGGGCGGCCGCTTCGGAGAGGGGCGGCACGTCCAGGTATTCGGCAGCAATTTAGCGGACGGTCCCTCACTCCCGCCTCGGAGCGAAGGCCCTCCCACCAAATTGCCGCCGCAGATCGCGATTGCGGCTTTTTTTGGCTGCCTGGGGCGGCCAAAACCCTAGAGCCGGCCCGGCTTAGTAGCAGGGAATAGACGTTGGCCCAGCTATTGATAATGCTTCTATAGCAATTCAGGAAGCTAATCCGCAACGTGGAATGACTGATCTTGGCAGTAGACCTGTCTCATTCCCGTTTCCAGTGAGCTGCGCGGGCTCCATGGAGGTAACTGAATTCCTGGTTCCAAAGCCCACAGGGAAGCCGGTTTGGGGGTGAGGAGGGGGTGAAGTGTTGCAGTCAGAGAACCAGCTGCTGCGGTGGCCGGTTGAAGAGGACCATGAGGTGGGATCTGTAGGGTTACAAATCCCAGGTCAGAGATGCTGCTCGCCCGCTATGGAAGATGACAGTAAAAGGCAACATCTGAGACTGAACGAGGTTAAGGAAGTCCCAAGCCTCGCTTGAGCGCTAGGCCGGCGTAGGGGACATCCCTGACGGCCATGTGCTGCTGTGGAGGGAGGCGGGGATTCCACACCACATGGCATGCCAAATCCCAACTGTGTGTCAGCCCAGATACTGATGGGGCTTGGCTAGACTCGCCTATTGGCTTCCTTCCATGCTAGGCAACGCTGCCCCCTGCTGCCCTTGCGTCCAGCAGCTCTCACGAGGGCCCAGAGCAATCCTGTTGATGGCAGCGGAGGGGTCTTCAGGACTAACTGACATGCAGACCCACGCCCTCCGTTGGAGCGTGTCATTTGATTGCTGGAATCTCTCTCTGCATGCCACTGCCGCAGCTGCTGTGCATTGAATTCCCCTCTTAAAATCAGGCCCAGTGCTAGAAGCCAAAGACCAAACCCCCTTTTAAAATACCCTCATGCCCATGCGGGGCTTGTGTTAATAGAGAGCAAGAGGCCGCTTGGCAAAGCGTCGATGATGGAGGGTGGGCTGGGGAGCACTGCGCCTTCTGACTTACTCCAGAGGCTGCTGGGGGCCGGGCACGGCAGGCACCCGGCGAGAATTGCCCCAACGCTGAGATTCGGTTTGACCCTCCAATGCCTCCCTGTGGTGGCTGCTTTTGCTGGGTTTCGTGACTCCTTCCCCTCCTTGTTGCCTGTGCTGGCTTGACGGGCGGTTCTCAGCCTGGCACAGCGGGGAAGCTTCGTCTGCTTCTCCTTTCATCATGCACAGGAGCTTAAAGAGCGCGCAAGCTAGAATCTAAGTGACAAGCGATTGCTGTCCGGGGCTGTAGTGATCCTCTCCCGGGTGTGTCTCTTACCTGTCCTAAACCGCTTAATAATCGTGTATAGACAGAGCTGCTTGCTTCTCTTTGGCCTACAGTAGTCCACATTGGGTCTAAAGCCGGTTATAGACCCATAGGTACGAGGTCTCCCTGGCTTCGTTTCTTCCGACTCCTGTGCATCACCGTCCATCTCCACTGCAGTGGAATGTCTATGCACAGTCTAGGGTCTGTTACCTTCTTGCTGGGCCCTCGTAGCTGGGGCAGGTCTGGATCATTGGAGGATGTGCTGATGGCAGGAACGGAAGCCAAAATCAGTAGGAGTTGAGGGAGCTCAGCATTTCTAGGCTTGGGCCCACGGACGTGGCTCTGCTTGGTAGATTCTTGTGGACAAGCTTCTCCTTCTAACCAGTCTGCTCCTCCTTCAGGCCCCTCTAGTGTCTCGTACCCTGGGGGTCCATAAAAGGGAGGGACTTTTGCCGACCCAATATTGGCCGGAGGAAACCAGCCCATGCTCCTCTTTGACCCAGGGTGCAGCCTGTGCATCTCCTGGAGGCCACGGGAAGTCCTCTCAAAATGAGCCATTGCAACTTGGCGTGTAAACATCCAGCCTGTAAACCGGCGTGGCTCTCATTGTCTGAATCTTGTCTTCCTGGTAGCTCTCCTCCCAGCATTACCCGGGTGACGGTGATCCTGCTGAAATCTGCCTGCGATGTGGCCTGCCTGGGCACAGAAGGGGGTGGCGTGTACTTCCTGGAGCTCTCTGGCTTAACGCTGCTGGAGGATAAAACCCTGTATCAAGAGGAGATCATGCAGAGGTGAGCTGGCCTGGGGAGCTCCGTGAACTGGTGCCAGTGGAGATCAGCTCATGGTTGTGGGCACCAAGGTACACGGCAGACGGGGTGGGTTGCTGGCAGGGGTCTGTGGAAAGAGCCGTCCGACCCAGGGTTGCACTGGCTGCGGCTGCACCTGTGAAATGTTTGCTGTAAAGTTGGGATGCTGGCGGGCAAGTGTAGAGAGTCTGCAGCTCTTCAGGGGGCTGTGTTGAGCAGCTTCTTAAGGTGGATCTGGGATGCCTGGAGGCTGCTCCCTCTGAGATGTTTCTGGAGATGCCGCAGCCCCATGACTGATGGGTAGCATCTACGTAGGTCACCTAGTGGTGATCTAGTACCTCTCCACCTTTACAATACCCTATCCTCTCCCAGATTCCCGAGCAGGACTTGGGAAAGACCAAAGCGGGTACTGCCACCAGAGAATCCATCCCAGGTCTTACATGGAGCCTAGTCCCGCTGGGGCAGGACTCGGGACTGGCAGTGTTGGGCGTATCCTTGTGCAGCGCAGATGATCAATGAAGTTCAAATTCAGTTTCAAGCCAGTCCCTTGATTCAAGGGGCTCCCTAACACACTTGTCTGGGCTTGCGTTCCTCCTGGCCCATTGGAGGGATGAGCTACGGAGTCTGTGCCCTGTGTGACGAGGCTGCCCTGGCTGGTCCGTCTGTGTCCTCACTGGCTGTCGGGGACGTAAATATCCTGATCCAGGGCTGAGAGAGGAGCATCTTCCTCCTGCCCGTTACGGAACAGCTGGGCTGCGCTGTCTCGCCCGCAGCGCCGGGGAGGGATTAGCGAGGAGAAAGCGAGGGACTAGGCTGCATGGCTGTTAACCAGCCTGGTGTTCCCAACCCCTCTGCTTCCATGCTAGCGTGCCAGACGACTACCGCTGCGGGAAGGCTCTTGGGCCAGTGGAGTCGTTGCAGGAACACCCTCAAGACTTCTCCAAGATCCTGATTGGCTATAGCAGGGGGCTGGTGATCGTGTGGGACCAGAGCACCAGAAACGTCCACCACCTCTTCCTGGGCAATCAGGTACCTTGAATGGGGTTTCATGGAGAGCCGAGAACACCGCGCGCTCCTGGCCGGTGGGTGTCCCACTTAGCACGGAACACGGGAGCTTTGGCCAAGCCATCTGCGCTAGATGAGTTTCTGTGGCTTCCCTTGCTTTGCCATACCTGGTGGCTCGCCTGCTGGAAGCTGATGGCCTGGAGTTCGAAGAATGCTGCTGGCCTCGTCAACGAGGCTACGCTTAACCAGGCTCCCTCCTCTCGGGGGTCAGGGAGACAGGAGGGTTCGCAGGCAATGACCTGTGGCCAAACTGAACTTGATGCATTTGACTTAACTCTTCTAACCTACAGCTGCACCCGTGATATTGCAGTGGTCCCCAAACCTCCATTGCTGACCTCCTCTTCCATCTCCACTCTGAAGTGCTGGGCCTTGCTCCCCATGTCCCTGTGGCAAAACCAGATTCTGCCCAGGCTGCGTATGCATAGAGGGGACGCGCTGCCTTCTGTAGCCCCCCGTCTCTCTCCATCTTGGGTTTATTGGCCACATCTGTTCCTTGCAGCAGCTGGAGAGCCTTGCCTGGGAACGGAGCGGCAGGACGGTGGTGAGTTCGCACAGCG